AAGATAAGTTAAAGGTTTTAACTAAGAAAGCAACTTAAAACTTTTTTTTTTTTATTAAAACATTTTTGTGTCATTTATTGCATTTTTATTTTATTTCCTTTGACATGACTTGTTACTTTCTTTCAACAATAGTGGAACACAATTCCCTCCATACATTGTCTCTGTCTTTCTATTTCTAATGTTTCTTTATTTCCAATCCGGAATGATGCTGAATCTATTTTAACTCATATAAATGAACAAACTAATCTGATTTGTAGTCCAAACCTCTGCAGGATCGTCTTCTCTTCAATCTTCCATGAAGTCGTAGTGTTTGTGGAAATGGGCCCTTTGGTAAAATGCATTTGTTTTCCTTTTCTGTTTTAACTCTCTGGTTTTTGCGTCTTCTTCTCTCCCTCAGGCGAAGATAAGCGTGGAGGAGGAGACGTATCACTTTGCTGTCAACGGTCGAGCCTTTGCTGTTATCACAGAACACTTTCCTCAGCTGATGCAGAAGGTACTCGCTTCTTTTCCTTTAGCACTTGAAAATCTGTCCTATTTACAGCAAGTTTGTTTCTTTCTGTTGTATTTCCATTTTCCTTCCACATGGGGGCACCGCAGCTCGCTCTAAGAGCCACCGTGTTTGCTCGCATGGCTCCTGACCAGAAGACCCAGCTGGTGGAAATCCTGCAGGGCATTGAGTGAGCCTCCCAGCTGACACTCGTCTTTTCCATCTGTTTTCGCTGCTGCTGCTTCATCCGCTGTGTTTACTTTGCAGCTACACTGTAGGGATGTGTGGAGACGGTGCCAACGACTGTGGGGTAGGTATTCAAGATTCAAGATTCAAGTGACTTTATTGTCATTCACATCACGTGTTAGATGAGGTAAACGAAATTGAGCGTCACGGCCTCAGTTACATCCGAATATAAAAAAATAATTTATAAAAACTAGCTACAGTATCAGATTTTATAAATAGAAAAAAAAACATTTACAGATATATAAAAACAAGAAGTAGAGAATAAAATAAAATGTATATTAAAGATGGGTTTGGTACCAGCAGGCATGTTCTGAGTTTTGAAGGTGTAACTCATTTCATCCCATTTTTAATGTGAAATATGATGTTTTGCTCAAATAGCAGGTAGGATCTATGGCAAGCTGTCAGAATAGGCTCCTTGAAATTCATAACGTATAAAAAAAACATAAGTTTCCATTTACTATAAAGCCCAAACACTGTAAAAATAAAAGAAATGTTGGCGGACGTCAAGATTTAAAGGCTACAAACTTTCATAAAACTTCAAATCAATCATCTTAATTTTGACAATCTTTCAATTTAATTTTATTGAATTTTTCCAACTTCTGGGAAAGTGGTGGTGACTTAGAAAATCTAAGGCTCAAACCTCAAATTATTTTTAACTAAAGAATCACATTTCTTATTTAGATCTCATAGTTTTTGTAGTGTGGAAACGTATGGAGTTAATTTTGTTACATTTTTTTGCTTTCAAAAGGCACATTTGTAAATATAAAAAAAATAAATAAAATGCAATCCAGTAACTAAAGGCTGAAATATTTTTTAACAAAATTGTTTTTTTAAAGTAACTTTGTTGTTTTATCAGACATTATTATGGAATGTTTTTTTTTTTTTTTCTCTCTTTTTCAGATTGAGTTTTATGAAATTTTTCCAGATCACATTCCCTTCACTTTAGGCCCAATATAAACATATAAACCACACAATTCAGTGATTTACTGTATTTATTTATTTCCAAATATGTTTAAACCTACAATGAATTTAACTTGATATTTATGGTGTAGACAAATTACACATATATACAGAATCTATAGTTATATACAATATGCAATATATAGTATATATAGTATCAGGGGTGGATTTAGGAAATGTGGGGCCCTGGGCAAAGGCAGGCAGGGGGCCCTCTGAATGGAGAAGACATCAAACAGCCCCATTCTCCAGATGTAGAAATGTTAATAGAATAGACATCCATTATCTGTTCTAGGTTGTGTCCCTCTCTTCTTGTCCCTTTT